CTCCTGACCCACTTGCAGTTATAACACAGCGACCATGTAGTCAGGAGGGCAGGATATGCAGTCAGATAAATTTACAGTGAACAAGCTCTCACCTCTCAGCAGACCAGACTGAGCTACTGATCAGCCGCCATTAACAGACTCTTGCACCAATTGGCTGCTATGTGACTGACTGATCACGGGTCTTATGATCCCAGCAACCAGAGCAACAGAGCACACGCATGTTCTGATGCTGTAACCTTTGATAAATGAACTTTTATAATAAACTTTTTTTAAAAACATGCTTGTTCACAGAGTATTAAACAACATATTCTACACAAAACGTTTACTTATGTCGTATTTTTGTTATTTGTGCTGTATCCCTCTGAGCTCTATTAACGTTTTTTCACCTCACTCTGATTACATCTTTTATAAAGTTCTCTTTAAATATTGGTTTTAAAATCAGCATTCACTCAAAACTGCTCAGAGATTTTTATGTATGCTGTATGTGTTCATCATCAACAAATAAATAAAACTTTAAAATCCAATTTTACTTGATCTAAACATACTTAACAGAAGTGCAAAACTTAACAAGGAGAAGCCAATGTGTGGGTGATTCAGAGACAGTATATTTGTTGTAATTTAAAAAAAAAGAAAAGCTGTTGTGTAAAAGGCTTCCTTTAAACTTTATCATTTGTAAAACCAACATAAGATTTTTTATTATTATTATTTATATCCATGTAACATATAATCATTCCTTTAAACTTGACGTGGGCATCCTTTTTAGGCAGTATTTCCCCTGCTATTGTGTAGTGTTTTCAGTTTCTACTCTAAGCTAAATAAACAATCTCAATAGTCCGAGTTTTCTTTTTCAGAACTAAATGTTTCATTAAACAAATGTACAACTAATTCCTCATAAGCTTGCGTGTTATTTCTTGTGTTGTTCTCTTCACGGGTGTCCTACCGTCCCCTGAGTTAACCCTCATTTTTTGGGACGTCCCCCAGGACTCACCCTGACAGCAAACGTGAATCGATTCCACCCGTCTCTCTGTTCATTCCACGCTTTACCAACCATGTGATCTGTTCAAACATACACACTCCGACTTGACGCACGTGTGTGCATGACTGAGCCCTCTCTCACTCATCCAGGACTCTGCAGCATCTTTGATGGGAGGGGAGAGTTTCAGGTCTTCGGTCCTTTGATGCACCTGGTATCCTGATAGCTGAGTTAACTTAAAGGGCAGAACATCTCCAGGAATAAACAAGCGTGTGATGGTTGAGTGAGGGAATGACTTAGCTGAGGGAGAGTTAACAAGATAGGGACCCCACTCTGTATATTTTTTCACAAGGTAACTATTCCCGTAAACATTTTTTTTACATACTCTAGAACTTTATTAAGATTCGAGACACGAGTTAACACAAATTAGTTACAATAAGGAAATATTCATGTTTTAAAACCACAATTACACCTAATATGTGTAAATAATGTTCATCATTCTCATGACGAGGTTGGACTTTTTCTCTTGACACATTCAGACTAAACCCTCAGATGTTCAGTGTCAGGGTCTGAGGCCTTTTCCTCCAGCTTCAGATGAGTAGGACTGGACTACATACAAATCAGTAGCATATTGTTCTCCAAAGCCCATCATAAAGCACTTTCTTATGACTTTGTGACATTTTTTTAAAAAACATTTACAAAGAATGTTCCCTTTCTAATCTCCTAATTACTGCTCATTGAAAGTAATAAAGGATGCTTTGTAAGGAATTTAGTTAATCATGTACAATAACTTTCAGACTTTCTCTCAATAACAAATATGAACAAACAAATATGTTTTCAAGATTGGAAAAAGCAAAACAAACTACATGTTTTTTTCGACTTACCAAGCTCATATGCGGTGGCCAGTAAACAGTTAACGTTTGCACTTAAATGCAAATGTTTTTTTCTTCATGCTAAACCACAGAGAGGCGTTTGTTATGTAGAACAGAAAATGCTTTCGACCTATTTACAGGTCTCCTTTAGTATGTGTGTATATGAGTGTGTGTGTGTGCGCACTTCTTTATGTTCATCCCCCATGTGAGGGGCCATCCCTAGTAAAAGCGTGCGGTTTCTTCACAGGAAATGACTTTCTGTTGAAAAAGATTCAGAGAGGAAGCACTCTAAAGAAAACTTGACTTTCTTTCTCTTTGCATCTCTCACTCCACTCTCTCTCTCTTCTACCACGAGACAATCAAATGTTCAGGATGATTTATGAAGAAATAGAGATATGGTCTATGGTTTGCCTGTTTGATGGCTTAACGCCACTATTGATGAAGTCTTTTTTTGATGTTGTGGAAATGAATAAATCTTTTTGGGGGGAATAAATCACTCAGCTGTAAATTTCAGTTTGCTAGAAGGCTTTTTTTCACTGGAGAGTGTATTAAACAAAAAAAAGGTGTCTTGAAGTGTCAAACTGAATCCAAGGGTTGTAAATTAATATCGTTCACCTTCGGATGTTACTGTCTTTGCCATGTTTAAGCTACAAATGTTTATGTAGAGACTGCCAAAGAATCAAAGGAAATACACACCCATTTCAGTGAGAAGCAGCAAAGCATAGGAAATAAGCAATGTGTCTTTTTCATCAATATCGTATAGATTTAGACCAACATTCAGACCAACAGTAATGCCAGCATGACAGGTGAGTCAAATCAGATCCTAAAACCAGCCAACTCAAACTTAAAGAACCCATTCCTGTACGACGTACTGAGTAGTTTAAGACCTAACTTGAAATATCTCTGAAATTAAAACCTCATTTTCACTCTGACTTGACTCGTGTAGATGTTGTCAGGAAGAGTTTGGAACTACAGGTTGCAGTTGTGTCGAGTCCTGCAGTGCTCCACTTTTAACTCCTGAACACTGAGGGACAACCTCTCCACGGCTCCTTTATTTTTAATGCTTGTGTTGAATTATTCTGGCTCACTGTCGTGTCGTGCCACCATGAATTGGGCCGTGAAGCTGGTGAGTGTATCTCAGTGTGTGAGAGTGTGTGTGTGTGTGTGTGGGACAGGGACAACAGGGAGAGTGATGTGGCAGGAGTGGAGAGTTTGCCACGAACACTGGAGGCCTGTGGGAAAGCAGAGCCATAGCAACAGAATGAATTAATGAACAGGAGATCTGAATGCTGCGTTTAACACAAGGTTCAAGCCCTCTCTCTCTCTCTCTCTCTCTCTCTCTCACATACACACACACACATTGATACACTCAGATGCATACGCACAAGCAGGGCCAGCTGGTGGTTTCATATGCAACAGAGATTACCTGGTGATGCAGGTTTGACCACCTCTACAACTATAGGCAACAAAAGATCCAGCACCAAGGACCAGACTGAATCTCATATGTTGAGTTTATTCTTTGGTTTAACTCTAATTTAAACAAAAAAGATCTGCAGCTCTTTGCAGTTTTAACTTTTCTGTCAGAAAAAGATCCACTCAAGAGTTGTCCTTAAAAGACACATGGTTGCAAAGGGCACTGAATGAGTATATCGTGGTTAGACATAGTTATATGGTGATACATAACCACCACAGAACATGTGCTCATGTTGAGTAAAAACTTTGTCCTTTCAGTAAGATACCTTCAGAAAAAAGTCTGCAGCGCCCCCCTCAGGAAAGATGGAGACATACAGACATACAGGCGTAAAAATTCACACTTTCAACATCACTCATGACTTCTGAGGGAAACTTTGTGCTTTAAATAAGGAAATTCGTTTAAGATTGATTGCACCAGTTTTAAGGAATGATTAAACCCCAAAATGTGCTTTAAAATTTATTTTTGAGTACATAAGATTTTGATTCTTCATTTTTTTGACAGCTTTCTTTATAACTGATTGCACCAATTTGTTTAAGTCTGAGAAGAAAGGTGGAAATTATGTTTTTATGTAACATTGTTTTCTCGCTGCACTGCCTCTGGTGTCCCGCATGTCTTACACCCTCTGGCATTTCCAAAAACTTCAGCCATTTATCAAAATTTCATTTTGCCTGTCTGCAATTCTTGAGAACAGCTTCAGTGAGGGTAGCGATGACGAACCCTAAGGCTGCCCATGTTTGAGATTTGCACACTGAAGATTTACCTTGATCAGGTCTAACTTTGAATTGTTGCGGCAGGTGAGAATATGTATAGACAAGCCTGGCCTTTTCTGCTGATGTACAGTACGATACAGTATGTGATAGTTGTGTAATCTATCTAAAAGATGACATGATAACAACCCGAGTTGAACAGATGGGAGGAACTGGAATCTATTCGAGCAGAGCACTGAGCACAGGTGAACTGTCAGTGATAAGAACTGATCTCTTCACATTCCTGTTCTTAAGAGTGCAACCATCCAAAATGCATTTTTTTCTCCTAAAAGGTGATGTCTTTAATTCAAACTCCTGAAAACCTTGAAAAAGCCTCAAAGTAAATTCACTAACTAACTTGCTATTGTTTTTTTTTCTTTTTAAACAGTTGCCTAAAAAGTTGGCAAAAACAACACTTAATTCAAAATACTGGAATACCCCCGAAATTAATGTTTTTTTTTCCTTTTTTATTGTACAATTTTACAATTACATTTGTACAAATGCTGTTAACAAAAAAAATCTGCAACTTAGGCGACGATAAGAAATGTTAGCTGGGGCCTGAAAACAACATTTTCCGGGAATACTAAACCTTCAAGCAACAGCGACGTAAACATGCGCTTTAGCTGCTCATAAGGAGGGCTGAGTACACACACGGACACACATGCACACATGTGTGTGAGGTGAGTTAGACTGGCTTCCTCCTGTTCCTTCCATCAGGTCTTACAAAAAAACAACAATGAACAGTAGCGAGGAGGATACCGGCATAGGTAGATGAATTCTTGTGCCGAATGATCATATAAAAAATCCAGTTTGTGTGTCTGTGTGTTGTAGTGATGATGGCGGAGGAAAAACGGGGGTAAGGTTGTGTTGTTGTTTGGTCCAGGTCCAATATGTTAAGAAACCAAGGCGCAGGGTCAGAGGCCATCAGGCAGGGATCAAGAGCGGGTGTACTTTCCCCAGATGTGCAGCATGAAGACAGAGGCGATGAAGAGCAGACTCATCACCAGCACTGGCACAGGGCCGCTGTAACAACAGAAACACAGGTTAATACACACGCACACACAAACAAAATCTTAGCATTGGCTGTAACTCCAACCAGATCAAGAGTCTTAGCGGAGTGGTTGATTTTATTGATGAGCTGCGGAATAACAAGGAGGGGCTCTCATCGCTAAAGGAGGTACTGAGTGGGGGGTGGGGTGCACAGGACGCATCGCTAAGTAGCAGCATTGCCATGCCAACCGGCTCCTCAGCGGACCCCTCCTCCCCCTGTCAGAAGGCTGTAATTGAGCTGACCTTTCAGAGTGGATCCTTTAATGAAGCTTTGAGGCTGGCGTCTAGCACAGGAACAAACACGCACTCGATATACAGCACTGTACGGCCAGTCTGCCCTCCTTCGACTGCTGGAGAGACGCACTCAATAACCACCACAGCATCATCGATCAACCGCGGCTGACTACAGCCCGGAGACAGGACGCCTTTTTAATATGAGGGGCGTGGATGAAGCAGAACACAACCTTATGAAGTTTAAGTTTTCTGAACGGGTTCACTCTCCTTACACATAGTTGTGTACGTATACACACATCCGCTGCTCGGAGATTACTTGTTTTGTCACAGCGGCACGTCTGCCTAATTTCCTGCCAGTGCACACTTCCTCCATTTCACCTGATCAACACTAATAACACTAAGAGCAAGAGTCAGAAATCCAGAGAATTAGATCTAAATTCTCGAGAGTTAGAACCGTCAAGGGTACATATTTCAATCTCCTGTTTGCATGTGTGGGTGTTTATGTCTGAACAGGTGAGTGGGGGTGGGGCCACTTACACTTTGAGGCCTGGCGAGTCTTCTGTGTAAAAGCGCCACATGCCGCCAGTGCCTGCAGATCCTGTGGTCCTGCCACCGCTGCGTGTGCCGCTGCTGGTAGCTTTCCTGTGGAACACATAACTCAGGTCAAGACTATTTTAATGCTTTACATAAAAACTTAATTGACCTCAAACTGTTAACGCACTGCCTCAGAGTTTTATGAATCTCGTCCTAGAATAACTCGATAATCTTTGCTGTTATACACTAACCACAGCAGCTGGTGATGAAAAAGCTGAGCAAATCATGGCTGCTTCTCTCGTGTGATGAGATTAAACGGAGGTTAATGAGGTAATGAAGAGAGTGAAAGTAATGGGTAATGAGAGAGGTAACAGCAAGCCTGTGATTACACACTGATTAAGCTCACGGCGCAACATCTATCTATGCTGCTCTAATCAATGGAGGGGGGGCTCACAAAGAAATACAGAGAAGGGGTGAAAATCATCAATCTCTCTTTTCAATGTGATGCCAGGTGCAGGTGGGTTCAGCAGCTAAGATGTCAGTTACTAAGTGTGTTCGGTGTGCATAGACTGGGGCGATTGCTTTGACTTATCTGTTATGTTTAATACAATATGGTCCTCAATGGCCTGTTTTTGCACAGTGACGACAAACATGCAGTTGTGACACATTGGTGGAGAAATCCATAAAAGAAGGACTAAAAGTTTCTTGATATACAGTTAAGACCACTCATCTCTACCAGGGGTTCCCTGATTCACTCTTATCATCATGTACTTTGAACCTTGCTACTTTAACATAGTCCTTATTTACTTATATCCTAATCCTGTAAACTGAATTCATAATGTTTCATCTTTACTTGCTCTGCAACCACAACTTGGCATGAGCTGTTGTTGTTGTTTTAATGTTGCTGCTGTCCCCTGTCTCTCTCTCTCCCTCCCTCTTCCTTACTCATTCTCTCTCTCCTTCCTTCTCCCTTGCTCTCTATCTCTCCCCCTGCCCTCTCTCTCTCCTTATCTCTCTGTATTCCTCCCCAACCCAGCAGCAGCTTGGTGGCTGTCTAACATGAGTCTGGTCCTACTCAAGGTTTCTGCCTGTTAAAAGGAAGTTTTTCTTTGCCACTGTCACTCATGTTGGATAAGATGGGCCAAATCCCATCTTAAGGTTGGGTCTTGATAATTCATCAAACAATGAGTGTGGTCTAGACCTGCTCTTGTTCTTTGGAAAGCATCTTGGGATGACAACTGTTGTGAACTGGCGCTATATAAATGAAATTTGATTGCTGGATTGATTGACTGACCTCAGTCAGAGTATACTGGTATTAGGTGTGTTGGTGATGTGAGTAAATCAACCATTTGTTGGGCTATGATTCCCAAAAGGTTTAAAACAGCAACAGCCTAACAATAACATAGTTTTAGAAGAAAATATCTTAGACACACTAAAATGCTGCAAAGCTGTAGACTGAATTTTATTGTGCTTGGTGAAATGACTGAAGATATTCTGTCATCTTTAAGTTTTTCTCGCCTCTGAGTGAGCCGTTCGATGAGTAACTGCACGCATCAAATCAGACCTTTCCTGTGATTTGGTTCTTTGGACATCTACATGATCTTACAAATGACTTCCCATCAGTCAGTTTGGTTAACTATGTGTATATGGGAGTGTGTGTGTGTACCTCTGCCTGACTGTGGAGCCTGCAGCACGGGGGGCCACTGTCTTGCTGGGGGAACGGCCAGATGCCCCAACATTTGTTGCGCTTGCTGCTGGACCAGGCTGAGGGGAGAAACCACAATAAAGCATAGAATCAAAGAAAAACTCAATTATTATCTCTTACCTGAGGTCTGACACAGAAACAGATACATAAATCCCCACAGAGACACTCCCAACAGATACATTAGTAACCTACAGGCACTCAGATAATAAGATGTCACTGTCATTTCTAACTGTCCCACTAACTTGGGACAGTAACTTATACATTGCTAACGTAAAGAACTGACCATAAATATGAGCCCACATTTGATTTCATATCAACTCATTCATTCAAATATGTCAATACACAAATATGTTAACATACACACATAAAAGATAAACTTATTGTTGTAATTTGTGGTTATTTAACAGCCTGAATAAACAGCCACGTCCACAAATGATGAGCTGATGTTAGCATGCCAGCTAACACATATTTACACGGCGCTAGTTCCGCTCTCTCCTCAAATGACTCCAATATAGCTCATAGCTTACAGCAACAATGTTATTTTATTGGCTTTAAATTGAGCTGAGAGTCTTACCATTTTGTTATATTTGTTCTGTTGCGAGCTGGAACCCTGGGCCCTTCTTCAATCAGATGTCCACGTCAAATGAGCAGCATACAGCCGGCGCATGAATTGGTCAAAACTTGAGAGGAGCCCACAGAAAGCTGACGCTTGTCTAAAAAGGACACGACTGCAAAACACAAGACCAGCGCAGGCGACCGAGCAGATGCCTGACCAGATGGAAGCGGTCATTCCTCGAAATATTACTATAATATTATTTTGAGAACCTCATTTCCAATCTTTTAGCGTAGCAAAAAAAAAATTATCCATAATTTATTGTGATTCTATGAATTTGGATGGATAATTTCACTCAAATTTAAAGGCAAATGAATAGTCCTCCTTGGATTTGAGAAAGACGTGTCTCACAGGAAGCGCGCCTGCTACGTTCATGAAACAGGCGCCATTGTGGTTCAAACGAGTCACACGAGCAGCTAGACTGCAATGGTTTATTTGAGCCAAGATGGCGTCGACTGCACAGAGTTTCATATAATTTAGAATTGCTACTACGAGTATCTTGACTGTTGCAGTCACAGGTTTCTAAACTCGAACAGGGTGGACAAGAAATTGAAAGGTAACCTTAACAACATTGTAATTAAATTAAAGCGTGTGTGGTTTAGCTGAAAAACAACAGCTTATGTGGTTTGGTTTCTGAAACGGGCTAAAACTCTTTAGCTACATTAGCATACGTCCCCTGTTTTATCAATGTAAGGCACCATCAGAGATGCAGTTATCCATCTAAGTGAGCGAAAGTCTTATTTTTTTAGTCTCTACCACTTCGTAACTTTAATGCAAGTCAGGGATTTTCTTTGGGCCATCTTCCTCATTTTATTGTTTAAAGGGATATTATAAAATGTTCCTTCAGGGATAGAATAAGTTATTCTTAATCTTAGTATGATGTAAAAAAAATAATAATAATAAAATTTAAAAAATAAATAATAAAAAAGAAAATGTTATATTTCATATATCTTGGGTAAGTTAACACTTTAAGATGTGCTGTGTATAAAACTTATTGCACTTTTCAGGTACATTTTGCTTTGTTTACTGTGCCGATCAGTTTACCTGCTCTTACTTGATCTTACTTTGACTTATTCTTTAGGATGGTTCGGGTGGTGTTCCTCCATCCAGACCTTGGCATTGGTGGAGCTGAGCGACTGGTGGTGGATGCTGCTGTTGCCTTGAAGTCTCAGGGATGCAGCGTCCAGATCTGGACGGCTCATTACGACCCGACACACTGCTTCTCAGAGACCCTGGACCCAGAATTGCCTGTGGTACACTGACACACATCTTACTTTACCCCTCATGTTGTCCCTCATTGACATGCAGTTGGGACAATAAATAATGAATGTAAAATGAAGAAATTAATTGTTGACTTTTTTTAGAAGCGCAAACACACCAAGTATTGTTTCTGTTGCCCCTCCAATAGGTGTGTGTTGGTGACTGGCTACCTACCAGTGTGTTCGGTTACCTTCATGCCCTGTGTGCATACCTGAGAATGATCTTTGTGGCCTTCTACTTGGTCTTCCTCAGTGGGGTGGAGTATGATGTTATCTTCTGTGATCAGGTCAGTGGTTTCATGCAGGAATTAACTATCAGTCTGTTTGGTCTTAACTTATTTGAGCTCTTCAAAGCCTCTCTTATCCAGCAACAATCTTAAGGAGCATATCCTCCATTGTTTGCTGTTGCCTGTCCCTTTGTCTTTCATTTATTGTCACACCCACAAACTATACTATAAAGTGCACACTCCCATATTTGTTTTCTGTTATTTTATCTTTAATGCAAATTCACTAAGAAAACTTTCTCTCACAAACCACACCTTTTCCCCACACATAATTACAGTACAGAGAAACTCATAATTAGACGAAATCCTGCTTTACAAGAATAACAGAGTACTTTTTTTTTAATCTCTTTTTGTCGCCTAAAGTGGTGGAAAACAGCATCGAGTATTTGCACAGAATGAGATTTGTCTTGAGGCTACATCATTATTGTTCTGCTGGATGTTCATGTTATTTTTTCATATATCAAGGTTGTTTCTTTCCCTTCTGATTCACTCCAGGTGTCGGCCTGTATCCCCATGCTGCGACTTTCCCGTCACAGGAAGAAAGTTTTGTTTTACTGTCACTTCCCAGACCAGCTTCTGACTCAGAGGAAGTCGCTCCTGAAGAAACTGTACCGCGCTCCAATTGATTGGCTAGAGGAGCGCACCACTGGCATGGCTGATATGGTGAGCTAAGTGTATCACTCTGTAGATTGCGATTGTGTCATTGCGGGACAAGGTTTTGTCCCAGTTTGCAGGATAACCTAGTGACATACAAGAGAAAAATGTCAGATATGATTTCGTACAAGTTAAAAATTGATCAGATGAGACTCAGAGATCTTCAATTTAAGTGTACAGATTTGTTTGTTTGTTTTGCAGTGATTTGAAAGTAGCCAGAGGGTGCAGTGTGAGGATTTCAGGTTCAGTCTGTATGACAGTCAGGGGCTAGATCGATATGGTGCTCTGCTGTGATTCACAGTCTTGGGTGCAAGCACTGAAGAGGTTTTCCTCTCTAGAACAGCAGGGACATGCATTATAAAATGTCATACATTGGAGTCAATTGTGATGCATGTAGTTAGATTATACAGGACATATCTCAGATGTATATAGTTTAACACTTTGCAAATAAGAAATGCTGTGCTAGCTGAAGGCCTGAGGATCATGGTCATCCAGTCTCATTTTTTGACTTTGTCTTTTTTTGCCACTGAGATTTCTTCAGATTCCTTGAATCTTTTAATGACATTATGATGATTATGAAATCTCCAAATTGATATACACAGTACCTTCAGGACAAAAAAAGGACAGACATGATTATTATTAAAGCACAGTGATGGATGATTTAATGTTTGTTCTTTATAGTTTTCATAAAGTGAAAAGCCTGCACATAAAAACCAAGATATAAATTCTGTTGTCAGCTCAGTCTTGTGTGCCTACAAATAAATTACATGACAACCACACGCTTACAAAATACTTCAGTGTAAAAAACAAATACAGCCTATTTGTTGAGAGTTTCATTAGTTTAATTAAGTTTGATTTTGTAAGAAATTAACCAACAAGTTAGGAGAGATTCAGTGTCTCTCACTGAATGAGTTCAGCCATTAGTAAGTTCTAAAACTTTGCTGCAATAAAATACATGAAAATATGAAGTTGATATTTCAGCAGCTTAAATAAATCTAAGTAATAATTCAATTTGTGATATAGCCTCATCTCCTCAGGCGGGAAGCGTTAAAGGCTCAGGGCCCTGATAGAAAGGAAGTGACATTTCAGTGTAAGTCCAGACTGCGGGATAATCAACGTCTGCAGGCTGTTATCTGGCTCATAAGGAATTAAAACACCTGTGATATATGTGAGATCCTTATGAATAATCTCTCTGTGCCTCCCCCTAGATTCTGGTAAACAGCCAGTTCACTGCAGGCATCTTCAGGGAGACCTTTCAACGGCTGAGTGAAGTCCACACCAATGTCCTCTACCCCTCCCTCAACACGACAACCTTTGACCAGCCGTCCTCTGAGGTGCAGAGCCTGGAGGGGCTGCTCCCGGAGGGAACTTCTTGCCTGTTTCTCTCTCTGAACCGATATGAGAGAAAGAAGAATCTGGGATTGGCTCTGGAGGCTCTTGCATTCTTGAAGAGCAGCCTCCCCCTAAAACAGAGAGCAGGTATTCACCTGGTGGTGGCGGGGGGCTATGATGATCGAGTTACCGAAAACGTTCAACATTACACTGAATTGAAGGAGCTCGCAGCACAGCTCCACCTGGAGGACTGTGTCACTTTCCTGCGCTCCCCCTCTGATTCACTGAAGGTGGCGCTGCTGCGGGGCAGTGCAGCTGTGCTGTACACCCCAAGCAGAGAACATTTTGGGATAGTTCCAGTAGAGGCCATGTATTGCTGCTGCCCTGTTATCGCTGTGAACTCTGGGGGGCCCTTGGAGAGCGTGGCCGATGGGGAGACTGGCTTCCTGTGTGAGCCCACGGCAGAGGCCTTCTCTGAAGCCATGGGGAGGCTGGTGGGGGAGCCGCAGCTCCGCAGGGACATGGGACAAGCTGGGAGGAGGAGGGTGCAAGATAAATTCTCTCTGCAGGCCTTCTCAGATCAGCTGTACGGCTACATTTTGAGGTTGAGCCAGTGATGTGAAAGCTGGAGGAGAGGCTCGAGTCAAACTGTTGAAAGCTGGAAAAGTTGTCCTCCTCTGAACTGTGAACTGTGTTTGGACGACCACAGACAGTTGACGTGCGTGTGTGTGTGTGTGTGTGTGTGTGTGCTGTCTTAACAGAGTGTCTGTGTGTGTGTGTGTTCGTGCGTGTGTGTGTGTATGTGCAGGAAGGCAGTAGAGGGGTATTATAAGGACTTAGAGGACAATCAATCAGCATTCCCCTGTAGGGGTTGCTGAGAGGGAGAGAAAAAGGAGGATTCTCTGTACCAATTAAGAAAAGAGTAACGAGTTTACCTACACTATCTTTGGAAAAATACCTCCCCTGCAAACGTGTATGTGTGGGTACTATTTTATGTGTAGCAGCAGAGCCACAAAGAGCTCAGCAAATGAGCGTACCAGCAAGATTGATTGTTGGAGTGAGATGTTTTGCACTGTTTATTTTTTAGTCTTTGTGTGTCCGAGGGAAGAAGAAGAACAAGAAGAATGTAGTTACTGCTGTGTCCCATCACGCGCAGTTCCCCAATCAATAAACGGGATGCTTTCCACTACTTCCTGTCCGCACAGAGCTTTGTTCCCCCTCCTTGCATTCAGAAAGGGCTGGCCTATCCATGACTCCTGCTGCAGAGGAGAGGTTATTAGCAGATGATAGAGCGTGTTTGGCTTTATTAGAGGTCTGGCTGATGGCCAGTGTGTCTTTGTCTGGGTCATTATTAAGCAGGAGAACAGCAGAAGGTCATTGTGTCTGCGAGCTCGTCTCCTCAGCTCCTCTACTGTATAGAAATGCTCTTATTGACATTCCAGAAGTCTTAATAAACAAGAGGACACATAGTTTTCTGACTCTTGCGAGCTTTTCTTTGTGGGAAAGTTTTTTTGGCCTTTAACAGAACGAGCTAAGGAATCTGTGGGTGAGCATGCAGACGGAAACATCATTCATAGAGCGCTAAGGATCCACAAACATGAACAAACAATGTTGGAGAGGGAAGTTTTATTTTCTTATTAGCAAAGTCAGGGTGACCGACGTATTTGAGAAAGGTCTTGAGTGTACGTCTCCATTTGTTCCTTGATCTCATCTGTAGAGTTTCACTTGTAATTGCGGGAAAAACTTCCAATCTTCACACATTGTCATTGTTTTACACAATTGTCCTCAAATCACATTTTGTGGAACTATCCTCTTTAGTTCTTGTCTTAAAAATGCAGTAAGAAAATGACTGAAATACATAGATCAAACTTGAGTTAAATAAAGCACATGGTCCTAATACGAAAAACACTTTCAATGTCCAGTTTTGTACCTCCTCGTCCATCTATGTTCAAACTTAAGTCTCCATACTCTGTTGTAGACCAACGCTGATCAGTCTGAATAAAAGAGCAGCATGAAGTGTCCTCATGTCAATAATTTCAGCCCTGAGGTTTGTCAATTTATTCCAATCAGAAGAGAAATATATTAATGATTTAGATTCAGGAAGTCAGACACATAAAATTAAATAATTTGACAGATTTTATTCCAACAGCACCATGGGTATTGTCAGCACTCGGCAAACCTGGTCACGCAGCAGCATTTATAAGGGATTCAAAACAACTGAATTCAATGTGGAATAAAAATCTACGGTTGGTTATCATTCCTGCACAATAACACTGACGGAGCTGACAGAGTTTCTTCACTCGTGCCCACAAAAAGACTTAATCTAGAAAAACATGCCTTTTTTATAGTGCTGCTCAACCATGGTAACCATCATAAACACAAGGAATAAAAAGTTCAGGATGCATCCAAAACATGCACACCTGTGTCTGTGTCTCGAGACAAAACACAGTTCCTGTGAGCGAAGATCAACAGAAGGATGCGAGTGTATTTGTTATTAGTTCAGTCCCTTTTTGTAATATACTGTATCATAATTGTTGCAACAACTTTGTTAGACCCAGAATTTAAATGTGTTTGGCTGACTGGCATGTATCTCTGTTACCTATTATCTTAAGGGGTGTGCTGTTGTCTGAGCAGCTTTACACACTGAGACAGTCATTCAAATTTTACATTATTTCTATATTTGTTTCTGTTTGTTTACAAGGTAAAGGAAGTACATACCTGCATTGAGTTTCCAATCCTTACTTTTCATATTGATCCAAATATTTCTTATGAGTCAATTTCAAAGCTGAAATGTTTAAAAACAGACTTAAACACGATTGTCCCTGTTGGTCTCATTAGTGAAGGTGGCCTGATGAAAATTGATATAAAAATCTAGCATGTTGAATATCGCAGTGATAGATTGAGTTAGTGATTCAGATGTTTTTGATGAATGCAGATAAACGTAAGATGCCGGTCTTTGTGTGTTTAGATGTGTGTGGGTACCACCGGTAAAAGCGAAGAGAGCACACTGCTGTCTGTTTTCCAACGCAACATTTACTCTGGGTTTTTTGATCTAACACTGCTTGAAAATGAATCTTCTTTCTTATGTGAATTTAAAAGAAAAGGTACTTGTGCTCTGATCTCTTGGATAATTGCTCAGTGAAGAAACCTTCATCACACTCTCTTTCCAATATTCCTCTTATTTCACTCACAACCCAGACATGAAAGTAGAGGGGGGTGGCAGCGAGAGCGAGCACATCACCAGGGTTGTCATGTGGTTATTTTGTCAAGTTGGGCCAATGACACCTTGAGGAGTCTTGACAGTTACCTACTGCATCCAAGAGCTTTCTGCCTCCATGCCCACAAGAAAGACCGCTTTATATTACCTATCTATGGCAATTACAACACTGCTCATACAGCCCTATCACATTCAGCAGACCCATTAGTGAGATACTTCATTGGCGTTTTAAGGCAGATTTTAAAAATCAGTTTTATGAGGTTATAAAAAAATGACTTATGGCAGAAAACAGGGTCAAAAACTGAAAACAAATCCTAACACAGTGAACCCTAAAGCCCTAACCCTTAAAAACAGCTCAAGGAAACATTTGCAGAAAGTTTTTAAAATGGAAAAGAATAAAGAAAAAAAGACACAGAATGTGTGTCTCTGTCCGTGTGTGTGTTGCTGTGTGCAGCTTTATTAAGAGTAGATGATGAGGAGGGCGTTCCTGCAGTGATTTAGGGGCCCCACTGGGCATGATGATAAAAGGCCCTGTGAAGCCTGTGAGGGAGGAACAAACACACAGCAGTAAACCCTCATCAGGCTTCTTCATTCAGTGTAAATGTGTCCCACTTTACTGCCCGTACTTTTCCTACTTTAGTCTCCACAGAAACTGTCTTTCACTCAAAGTTGAGGAAGATACCCCCCCACCCCCAACCCCACCCCCTTTGTTGCCCTGTGGTGGGGTGGATATTGAGATCACGGTGTGTCTGAGTGGCACTGATAACCGGTACCCAGGTGCCACTGGCACATGGTGTTTAATTAATTAATGAGACCGCGGGGTTGGTTTTCTAATTCCACCTAGCCAGCACCACTCTGTGGGGAAGATAGCCGCGAAATGTTTAGGTGTGTTTTCAGGCGAGGACCAGAGATGTATGTGCGTGTGTGTGTGTGTGTGTGTGTGTGTGTGTGTCATGAGTGTAGATCTATTTTGTTGGCAGTTTGGGAGCTGGTCTCCCTGTTAGTGGAATATTAAGTATGTATGGAATATTTTTACTCAGACTTTTAATCTTGCTCGATGATTGGGAGTTAATCATGAGCTAAATGAAGATGATGATGGAGGTAACACAGTTAGTGCTAATGCATCAATCTGAGCTCTTCCTCCAGCACTCTAACCAGGTCATGGACTCATTGCCCTGAAACAGAGAAATGTACCTGACATTTACACTTACTGCTGGAAGGTGTTTGGGGAAGTGGATGGTGTTTATTAACTGTAATAAAATATATATAGTGTGGGGTATGGATTTTTATAGGTCATTAAAAGATTTTTTTATTGTAGTTTTTTTTTACTGGGGCCTTTGTAAAAAAAAATCTAACCATACTAAAACAAAAATTTTAAAATCAGATATTATGATGTTACTTTTCCCTTGAACAAATTAAATACTAAAACGACTGAAAGTGCAAATGATACAAACTCACCTCTTTATATTGTCTTCGTCAGTGTTGTTCCTTGGAGGTTTCTCTTTCAGAGGTCCAAAAAGAATGTCATGTAACATTAGAGGAATAACATCTAAATCACAAATAATGAAGTAATTTTTCTCTTATGAAAGGTTCAAAAGCTTCACTAGAAATTCAGAAAAACACTTTCTTTAACATCTTTAACAAATTACAGTGTTGATATGAAAGATTTGGTTTACTGTCTAATCCTGAATTTGCAATCTTTGCCCATTAAACAGACCCTCCAACTGTACATAAATTCATAGTTTTTGACCATATATAGTGCTTTGTCTTTCTTAAGTTGTTTTATGTAATAAAGAAAAAAGAATTTAGAATTTCTATATGAAACCACAAAAATACCAGTGACCCCATGTTTAATGTATTGAAAGCTGTTTCATTAAGCAACAAAGGAAAGAGCATCATAACAACGCAAACATCACCAAGATTATTTTCTGTGTTTTGTTTGGATTTAACACACAATTACAACCTCCATTTTCTTCTGTCGCCAAATTCTTGTTTCAAAATTGAATCAAGAGGCTGGAGGAGGTTCACTGTTGGGTAAATACATAGCAGAGACAGAGTGATCCTGGTTATGAATGATAGCATCTGCTTAAACAATGAAAAAAATCTACATTTGTATTCACAGCTCATCTTTAGGAGCTGTTTTACATGGTACATGCTAGCAAATTATGTATTTCACTCTTTACTGCTTCCATAAACTACTCGAATATATTAGCTTACACCTCATAAATGTTCAGAATGCACAACTCTAATAGTCACACAGGCAAACAGTCTTTGCAGCTGATCGCACAGAGGAGAGGGATGATTTACAAACGCTTCATAAAACTCTTCTCTCTCTGTGGGAGATCGTAATAAAACTTCTTTAATCTCTGATAGTGGAATATTATAGATAGCCTCTATAAAAATAACTTTATGGTTTAGGAAAGAGAAGCATTACGACTTGTTCCACGTTGTGTGTTGTGTGTATTTAAACTATCTCATAGCTTCAAGATAAATGTGTCCATAGATTTCAAACATAGGACGTCATCTAATTCACAGTGGGTTTACTCATAAAAAAAGTATGGAGTCTCATTTAAGATGCAGAGTATAACAACATAACAACATTTTTGCCATCATTGATTGGAGGCTGTTAGACAAGAAAACAGATAACAGAAAAACAAAGATGTAGGTTACATACTGTTTACACTATTGTAACCTCATGATAAGAGTAAATAACCATCCTGAGAATATTATTCTCAATGTGCTAAATATGTTTTAGCGATATTGAACCCACACACATTTTCATTGATTTCTGATCCCAATAGTTATTAATTACAACAACATAATGACTGGAAAGATTTGACAAATGACTGAGAGAGTTCACCATCGTGATCATTCTAGATGTATTTGTATAATGTACTCGATGTTTGGTATAAGGGGTAGGTCTTTACAAGCATTGCTTTTGCCTACACCCTTTCGGTCATGTTATACCAAAATAAATCCTAAATCCTAATCCTAATCCTAAACTTTGGGATAAATTACCTGTTAATCAAAGCACTGTTCAGTTTGAAATTTCAGAAGGCACTTGACCATAGTTTGGATAAAAACCCATTATTGCAGATGTATTCATTACTGGTACATGATTTCTGATGAGAGCATGAAGCTTTTTCAAACTACTTCAGATACTGGCAGAAAAGTTTGCCTGTTCGGTAGCAATTGAGCAACTTTGCTGTGTTGAATATGAAATATTCTTTTAAAATTTGAGTTAGGACCTGATTGTCCTTGAAGTTGTGAATCAGTTGAGAAGCAATCAAAATACACAAAAGAATTATTCCAGGGCAAAAAAAACCCCACAGCATTATAACATAGTTGTAAAAACTCAGCATCAGACCCTCAACATGACATTAAAAGAAAATGTCTGCTGTGTGCAGCTCACTGAGAAATGACAGCAAACATACTACACTGTAAGGCTAACTCATTTTGGCTGGTTAAATCATTCAGCAGCATGGCTCTAATACAAGTTTCCTATTTGGAAATAATGTTTCTCATCAGGTCTCTTAAATTCATGTCTCAGATAAGCCTCTGCCTGAACACACACACACATGATCTCACAGACGCGGAGACATCCTGGCTCCCTGGTTCCTCTTCCTGGAACAGCAGGGAGATGCAGGAGGATGAAGGGGGGATGAGGGAGGATGAGGAGGGAGGAAAGAGAAGAGAAAGGAAGAGGCAACAGGAGAACAGACCTCCCTTGAACTTGGCCCTCTTCCAGCTCTCATTCATCCAGTAATCAGCTGTGAGTCAGTTAGCCACACTGGCTTTAAACAAACACATTAACATC